CAAAACAAAGAAGAAGATCAACCAGTGCTGCCATCAAGTAAGGAGGTAAAATTACCAACAGTTTAAACACAACTGATTCGATCATATAAAACAAAGTGTGACTGAGGAAGAATATTTGACATGCTTCCCTGTTAATGTTGGTGATGCTTCCTTCTGTGACTCTCTGGCTTTACCTGCCAAAATCACAGTTTCTGCCAAAATCAGTGATTTTGGCAGAAACTGTGATTTTGGCAGAAACTGCTGTTAGCGTTTCTGCCAAAATCACTGAAATTGGTGGAGCTTCCTTAAAAAGGGCAGCTTAGCCTGCAGACTTACAGAAGCCTGTCTTGGGCTAAGATGTGGAACATGCTGTGTATAAATAAAATATGAGTCTTTGCCACATGTGTACGCAAATGTATTCAACTATGTAAATTATAAATAACTACATGTTGCTGAGACTGGATGAGGTTTTTTTTAAGTCAAACATAGCATTGTGCAGTCATGTCTATTCCTTTTCAAGGAGCAAGTTGCATCAGATAAGGAAAACCAATGATGTTTTGAAACTGTGATATGCACATTTGATGGGAAAGCACATAAAATGGCTAATGTTCAATTGCAAATGTGCATATTTTTTTAATTCATTATTTCATTTTAGAATTAATGTATTCACCAAAGGCTTCACCAATACTGCTCTCAGTTTTGTTTTTAGGTTTAGTGTTTTACTTGTAGAAGTCCTCTTTCAGGAAAATCAGATTTAAAAACCAAACATCTGAGAAGCATCTGCTTTTTAAAAACAAAATCTTTATATTTCCTACCTTATATTTAAGTTTTCTTTGTGCTATTTCTATCTCTTAATTTGATCATTGATTTTAACTCTAAAACAATAGCAACACACACTCACCAAGCCATTGTATTCTTTCCTTTGTGTGCTCTTCCACTCTTCCCACTGGGCATCCAAAGAGGATTCATCAAAACGACCCAGCGCAGAGGTAGCCAGCAACAGCACACACACAAGTGGCAACATCCTAAAAGAAAAACACCTTCATGTTTTTATTTATACCAAACCCAGAATTTTTTTTATTAACTAAGTTTTATTTTTTACATAGAGTTTTCATATTAAGGACTAAAAACTCATGTTTTAAGGCAAAAGTGTCACAACATTATAATTAGGGTATGTATACGCATATTAAATATCACAATGTTATCATAATCTCTTAAGGCCCATTTATGGGTGTCCAAGAGAGGAGCTACAGTCAAAATTCCCATTCAGAAACAGTTTACCATATGAACTTCCTGGAGAAGCTCAGGTTTGAATCAGGTCACTTCTTCATTTATAACCTTCTTGTCTGCACTCGAATGTCGTAAGGATAAAAGCTAATATATCTATCTATCTATATCTATATATGCTTTCCTATAATCCAGTTAGAGCATTGTGTTTCTGCAGGGGTTTACTATCATGTGGTTGGTTTCATTATCTCAATCATGCCACAGTGACAAAAAAAAATGCTAAGTTTCACTTCTTGTGAAACAAACCCCTATTCCATGTTTTGGTTTGAGACAGGAAACTCTCAGGATAATTCTTATGTGATTTTCAACAAATTTCACTTTT